GCCCCTGGGAAGGGCAGCCTTTGGAATTTGGGGACAAACTGGCATCCTGCCCATGCCAAGGAGAGCCCCACACGGCCACCCCGGCTCCTGGCACCCCACCATGGCACTGGTGCCACCCCCGAGCTCCGGCTGCCACCGGGATGATCCCGCGGGACTCTGCGGGGACAGTGACCCCATCCAGCCCCTCGGGGTGCTGGGGTGCCCCTGCCTGGGTGCTGGGGGGTGCTGGGGGGTGCTGGGGGTGCTGGCAGGGAAGGGAGGAGCCCCAGGATGTGCAGTTTCACTCACCCCCTTTCCTTCTCCGCATGGAGGCTTGGAATCAAGAAACAAAAGACAACATGAATGGCATGCACAGTTCCTGCTTCCAGCCCAGCTCCAGCCTGGCTGCCTGCCCTGCCTGCCCTGCCTGCTCCCCGTGCTTCCCTGCCTCTGGCAGGCGGGCAGGAGCCGGATCCAGCCCGGGATGTGGAGCCTCTGCCGGGACAAAGGCTCGGCAGGGCGGGGGGTGCAGCTCCTTGTTGATCCCAGCCCTGGGATCCGCTGGGATCGGCCCTCCACCCATCCCTCACCCCCCTCATGGGAGCAGGGAAGCAGAGGGAAGCCAGACCGGGAGCAGAGCTGGGTGCATTTGATGCCCAGGCAGCTCTTCCAAAGCTTTCAGTGCCTCCCTGCTCTCCAGGGCCCTTCCCAAAGCCCTTCCCTGCATCCAGCACGGCCGGGATTCTGGGATAGGAGTGCTTTGTCTGCAGCTTGCTGGGAATCTGCTCTTCCAAGGGGACCGGCATGCCAGGCAGCAAGGAAATATTCAGGGGGGCTGTGGGTACGTGGGATGTCCTGGGAGCTGCAGGGAGGGACAGGATCCAAGGAAAACGGGGCAAGGAGTACCTGACAGAGCTCCCCTTGGGAACCTGCAGGTAGGAATGTCCCTTCACTGCCACCAGGGTCCCTTGGGAAGGAGAGAGGGCTCTAAGACATGGCCTGAGGTGCTGATCCACATGGAAACTCCCTCTGCAGGGTCAAGTGTGGGAGGGGGGACGATTCCCCATTTTCCCTGTGGGATACGAGGTGGGACATTCCCCGATCCACAGGGCTGAGGAAGGGACTGACCACTGCAATTCCTTGGGAACATGTGGGCTGACACCAATCACTGCCTCCACATCCCTCTCCTGGGAGCCAGGGGGTTGATGCTCCCAATCCCTTTCCAGGTGGGACACAGCACACGGCTGGGAACGGCTCTCTGGGTCACAGCCAAGGGTGGGAGTGGGAACCCAGGAGTCTGGGATGGGTCTGGACACAGGGAAGGGCAAAAAATGGAAGAAAGGGGCCGTTCCAAATGGATCCTGGTAAAGAGAGAGCCTTTGCCTTGGGAATAAAGGTCTGGAGATGCAGGGAGCAGACCAGGGTGGGAATAAGGGCAGAGAGAGCAGAGTAGAATAAACCACAGCTGGTGCCAACCCTGGAATGACCACGGCTGATTCCAGCCCTGGAATGACCATGGCTGATTCCAGCCCTGGAATGACCACGGCTGATTCCAGCCCCAGAATGACCACGGCTGATTCCAGCCCTAGAATGCCAAGATCTGTCCCAACTGCACTGGATTTGGCTCCTCTGAGGAGCCCACAGGGTTGGGAATCCTGGTCACGCACCGAGGGCGGGAAGCAAGGAAGGCCATGGAAAAACAGGGGGATGTGGGGTCCTGCCAAGGCTCCTGCGCTCCAGGGGGTCCCTCCCAGCCAGGACTGGACCCTGTGCCATGGCCACACCACCACATTCCCACAGGGAAAATCCCTAAACCCTCCTGGTGCAGGAGGGCACATTCCCACAGGGAAAATCCCTAAATCTCCACGGCAACAGCTCCTCTGGCTCTGCCGGTGCCCTCGGGGGGGTGGCAGCCTGTCCCCCCTCCTGTGCCAGCCCCGGCACCTCTCCTGGCACAGCCAACCTGTGCCAGGGCACACGGATGCCCCAAAGTCTCCCCGGGATGGGGGTCCCTCCGTGGCCACCCCAAGGGGGTCTCTCCACATCTCCCACTGCCCATCCAGCCACAAGGGCCACGTGGCCGCTGTCCCACTTGCCACCCTGTCCAGTGGCACCTCTGCCACCCCTGGGGAGAGGGGAGGGACCAAGGGGAGGGAACAGCCCCCCCCAACAGCAGTGGGTCACACTGGGGACACCCCCGGGGTGGCCACAAGGGCCGGGAGAACCGGGGTGGGGGTGGAGAGGCTTTCAGGGAATCCGGGAACACGGAGCTCCAGCCGGAGAGCAAAGCAGCTGGAAACGTGGGCAGGCCGTGGAGTGTGAGCGGGTGGGCATGGCCGTGGGCACGGGGGGAGGGCGGAGAGGGGATGGCACCGCACCTGGAGCTCACCTGGAGCTCACCTGGAGCTCACCTGGCACAGGGTGGGGGGAATAAAACCCTGGGGCTGCCGGGTGTGTGGGAGCAGGGACAGGAGAGGGGAGAGGAGAGGGATGAGAAAAGGGTGAGGAGAGGGATGAAGAGGGAGAGGGGTGAGGAGCAGGGATAACAGCGGGGTGAGGAAGGAGGAGAGCAGNGAATGCCAAGATCTGTCCCAACTGCACTGGATTTGGCTCCTCTGAGGAGCCCACAGGGTTGGGAATCCTGGTCACGCACCGAGGGCGGGAAGCAAGGAAGGCCATGGAAAAACAGGGGGATGTGGGGTCCTGCCAAGGCTCCTGCGCTCCAGGGGGTCCCTCCCAGCCAGGACTGGACCCTGTGCCATGGCCACACCACCACATTCCCACAGGGAAAATCCCTAAACCCTCCTGGTGCAGGAGGGCACATTCCCACAGGGAAAATCCCTAAATCTCCACGGCAACAGCTCCTCTGGCTCTGCCGGTGCCCTCGGGGGGGTGGCAGCCTGTCCCCCCTCCTGTGCCAGCCCCGGCACCTCTCCTGGCACAGCCAACCTGTGCCAGGGCACACGGATGCCCCAAAGTCTCCCCGGGATGGGGGTCCCTCCGTGGCCACCCCAAGGGGGTCTCTCCACATCTCCCACTGCCCATCCAGCCACAAGGGCCACGTGGCCGCTGTCCCACTTGCCACCCTGTCCAGTGGCACCTCTGCCACCCCTGGGGAGAGGGGAGGGACCAAGGGGAGGGAACAGCCCCCCCCAACAGCAGTGGGTCACACTGGGGACACCCCCGGGGTGGCCACAAGGGCCGGGAGAACCGGGGTGGGGGTGGAGAGGCTTTCAGGGAATCCGGGAACACGGAGCTCCAGCCGGAGAGCAAAGCAGCTGGAAACGTGGGCAGGCCGTGGAGTGTGAGCGGGTGGGCATGGCCGTGGGCACGGGGGGAGGGCGGAGAGGGGATGGCACCGCACCTGGAGCTCACCTGGAGCTCACCTGGAGCTCACCTGGCACAGGGTGGGGGGAATAAAACCCTGGGGCTGCCGGGTGTGTGGGAGCAGGGACAGGAGAGGGGAGAGGAGAGGGATGAGAAAAGGATGAGGAGAGGGATGAAGAGGGAGAGGGGTGAGGAGCAGGGATAACAGCGGGGTGAGGAAGGAGGAGAGCAGGGAGAGGAGTGGAGAGAGGAGAGCGGTGAGGAACAGGGTAAGGAGAGGGTGAGGAAGGTGAGGAGCAGGGAAAGGAGAGGGATGAGGAAATGGGTGAGGAGCAGGGAGATGAGCAGGGAGAGGAAGGTAAGGAATGTGTGAGGAACGGGGTGAGGAGCAGAGAGAGAAGTGAGGAAGGTGAGGAGAATGAGGAGTGGGGTGAGCAGGGTGAGGAACAGAGAGGAAGAGGGTGAGGAGCAGAGAGAGGAGGGGGTGAGGAAAGGGGTGAGGAAGGCGAGGAGCAGGGAGAGGGGTCAGGTGAGTAGGGTGAGGAACAGGGAGAGGAACAAAGAGAGGAGCAGAGAGAGGAACAAAGAGAGGAGCAGAGTGAACAGGGAGAGGAGCAGGGAGAGGAGCCTGGAGATGAGCAGGGTGAGAAAGAGAGGGAGAAGCAAGAGGAAAAGGGTGAGGAGCAGGGTGAAGAACAGGGAGAGGAACAGGGAGAGGAACAAAGAGAGGAACAGGAGAAGAGCAGGGTGAGGAGCAGGGAGAGGAGCAGGGAGAGGAACAGGGAGAGGAACAGAAGAGCAGGGTGAGGAGCAGGGAGAGGAACAGGATGAGGAACAGGGTTCCTGCCGGCCGGGGCCCGGGGGCGGCGAGCCCTCCACGAGCACACGGAGACACCCAACGTCCTCCCCCCGGCCGCCTCCGCGGGGATGCGACACCGGAGGGGTGGGTGGCTCTGGGGGGGGTGTCCCGCACCCCTAATCCTGCAATCACGGGCTCCGAGCCCCCCACACCCCTCCGAGCATGACGGCACCTCCGGCGCAGCAGGACAACGTGGCCCGGCGCTCCCGCTCATGCAGCTCTCCGGGAAAACGGGCACCGGGAGAGCTCCGGCCCCGGCTCCCCACGCCCCCCGTGCCCGGAGGAGCCCCCCGTGCCCGGTAGAGCCCCCCGCCCTTACCCAGCTCCTCCAGCTCGGCCGTCATGGACTTGGACCGCAGCGTCAGGGTGGTGCTGGGCGCTCTCTTGGGAGGCGGCGGAGCTGAAAGGAAGAGAGACGGCATTTTGCATTTCTTGTCCAGGAACTTACGAGGAGTGGCCAGATGCAGGTGCCACTTCTTCTCCACAGCCTGGATCTCCTCGTACTCGCGGGATGAGGAGTCGCACTGCTGCAGGATCTTATTGAGGCTGCGCGTGGAAGCGAACTTCTTCATGGTCTCGGTGCCACAGTCCCGGGCACGGGGCGAGGCCCCCGGAGCTCCCGCAGGAACGTGGAGCCCTCAGCCGAGGAGCAGAGTCCAAGTCATGTCCCTGGGCTGCGCCTTCCCCCCTGCGGCCGCCGCAGAGGCTCCGGCCACGGGAGCCCCCCGCGAGTCAAGCCCGGCTCGGGCAGCGCCCGCCCGCGGGGGCTCGGCTGTCACGGCCCCGCCATGGCCGGGGGTGGGAGGGAGGAACGCGGCCGGTGGGGCCCGGCTCCGGCTGTCCTTCCTTCCTTCCTTCCTTCCCGCCTCGTCTGTCCTTCCCGCCTCGGCGCAGCCCCCGGAGCGCAGCCCACCCACCCTCCTCCGCCGTGCCCGGGGCCGGGGTGATGCTCCGCTCGCTCCGGCCCTACGGCAGCGCTGGCGTCCGGCTCGGCGACGACGGACAACCGGGACACGTGGCGGCCGGGCCGGGCCGTGGGAATGGCCCCGAGGGCTCCCTATCCCGGGCTGCCATGAGCCGTGAGCCCACCGGCACGGGGATGAGTTGAAGGCTCTTCCTCTTCACTTGGGTGCCTCCTCCTCCTCCTCGCTCGCTGACAATGCTGGATTCAACGCTCAGGCATTGCCATGGCAACTGGAGCTCCAGGCTCCGCTGCTGCATCAGGGACCCAACGGGGCGGATTCAGCCCGAGCCAGTCCCACACAGGCCCCCGGTACCCCGGGGAGGGGGCGAGGGGGGTCTGAGCCCCCCGGCCCCGCTGCAGACGGGGGGTCCCGCACGGGGGACCCGGCTCCGGTCCCCGCACTCCACGCTGGAAGAGCGGCCACCCGGCTCCGGGCTCCGGGAATGGGCAGCAGGCACCGGGCAGTGCCAGGCGGCTGCTCCCCGGCTGCGGGGCTGGAAGCACCGGGAGAAGGGGCGAGTGGCACCCCCGGGGGTCCCAGGGCTGATTCCCGAGCTCAGCCTTTCCCACGGCTCCGCTTTTGTGCCGTGACAACATAATTGCAGCTCTCGGTGCCAGCGGAGCTGCTCCCTCCCCCTCGCCCCTCGTGCTGCGCTGGGAGCGCCCTGATCCCGGCCCCCTGCTCCCATCCCCCTGATCCCATCCATCCCTGTGCTCCCATCCCCCTGATCCCATCCATCCCTGTGCTCCCATCCCCCTGATCCCGGCCCCCTGCTCCCATCCCCCTGATCCTATCCATCCCTGTGCTCCCATCCCCCTGATCCCATCCATCCCTGTGCTCCCATCCCCCTGATCCCATCCATCCCTGTGCTCCCATCCCCCTGATCCCGGCCTCCTGCTCCCATCCCTGTGCTCCCATCCCTGTGCTCCCATTCCCCTGATCCCAGCCCCCTGCTCCTATCCCTGTTCTCCTATCCCTGTGCTCCCATCCCCCTGCCCCTGGCCCCACCATTCCCGTCCCCCCGCTCCTGTCACCCCACTCCCATTCCCATGCTCCTGTCTCCCTCATTCCCATTCCCCTCCTCTTGTCCCTCCCGTTCCCATCCCCTGCTCCTGTCTTCCATGTTCCCGTTTCCCTGCTCCTGTCCCCTCACTCCCACCCCCCTTCTCCTGTCCCCTCCATCCCATTCCCAGTGTGGGATTCCCAGCCACAACCCCTCCAAAAACCCTCCTGCCGGATGTCCCCCTGCCCACCACAGCTGGATTCCAGGGTGTGTCCCTCCCGGACACAGCCGTGTCTGTCTCCCATCCAGGTGTTCCTGCCTTCCCTATTTGGGTGTCCCCAACCCCAGGGGTGTCCCAGCAGGTGACCAGCAGCCCTGGCATCGTCCATGCCAAAGGAGCCCCCAGGGATGGGAGCAATTCCAGGACAGGGCAGCCACGGCTTCTGGGCAACCTGTGCCAGGGCCTCCCCACCCTCACAGCCAGGAATTCCTTCCCAGTATCCCACCTAAACCTGCCCTCCTCCAGTTTAAGGCCTGCAGGGAAAACCACCTCAGTGTTGGTGCCACGTTTCCGTGTGAAAACCGGAGAGAACCAAGGTGCTCAAATCCCTGAGGAAGCACAGGCTCCATCCCAGCACCCCCTGAGCTCCTGCGGGCACCATCCTGCCCCCAACAGCCCCGGGGCCTGTTCCCCACCCTGACACCCCTCAGGGAAGGGGGTCTCTGCTCTCCAGCACCGTGTGGAGCAGCTGATCCCAAGGAGTTGGCTCCAACCTTTGGGCACACACGGCTCCGGTGGGAAAACAGAGCCGGTGTCCTGCATCCCAGCAGTGGCTGGGATCTGCCAGAGCCCCCCTGACCACCTGCATCATTTTATAATAACAGTAATTTCGTTTCCAAAATGAACTGTGTGTCCTGCCTGGATAAAACCAGCTTAGGTCAGGAACCTCCATCTTTCCGAGGAATATCGTTTTCCCAGATTTCAGCTTCCACTTTTCCATAACATTAAATCCTGTTGTCTTCAGCCTCACAAAAAAACTCCCAAAGGCTTCAAAACGCACTGGCAGCAGAATGCTCAGCTTTGTGAGAAGTATATGCACCAGTGAAAATTAAAAGGGAGCCTGATGACTTTTCCTTCCTCCTGATCCACTCAGATCCCTGGTGCTGAACTGCAGGTTTTCCAGTGCCTGGCTTTGGAAAACCTGGTTTTAACGGGCTGTCAGGACAGAGCCTGTTCAGTGGCTGCTTGGTTAGGCGGGACTCAGTAGCTCAGGGCACACTGAGCTTTACTCTGAGCTCTGCTGAGCTTTACTCTGAGCTTTACTCTGCCTGTTCTTCTCCCGGGACCATCATCCCCACCCGCAGCCGTCGGCGCATCCCGGTGCTTCCCACTCGGAGCTGTCTGTGCCTGGCACAGCCACATCACCCTTCCCAGTGCCCTCCCTCCTCACTGGTGCCACTGCAGACCCTCTGGTGGCTCCCACCCTTGGGTGACACGTCCCCCCAGCCCAGGGAATCCCAGGATTCACACCTACCCTTCTTCCGAACCACTTCCTCCGACTCCGGCTTGCGGCTGACGGACACGACCTTCATCACCAGGTGGTTCCCCCCTTGCCGGATCAGGGACACCACCTGCTTGTGCCCCACCTTCACCACGTTCACACCATTCACCTGGGGCAGAGCAGAGACACGGTGAGAGCCGCCTGTCGGGAAAACTGAGGGATGTCATCCCCAAAAACGCATTATTTTGCACCTCTCCCTGTGTTTTTGTTCAGCCCGGGAATCACGGAAGTCACCTGCCAGTGACCACAACCTTCTGGAGGAGGTGGACAACCCCCTTGCAGCTGGGCTGACAAGGCAGATCAACCAAAAAAGGGGTGTTTCCCAGTTTTTCCTGGGCACTAATTCATCCCTGGAAAGGTTCAACATCCCTGGGACTGTCCAAGGGCAGGTTGGACGGGGCTTGGGGCAACCTGGGCTGGTGGAAGGTGTCCCTGCCCAGGGCAGGGGGTGGCACTGGATGGGATTTAAGGTCCTTCCAACCCAAACCATTCCATGATTCCATGAGGCTCCTGGATCTGCAGGACTTGAGCTGTGCCTCGGGTGTTCCAGAGGTGCTGGAAGAGAGACTGATCCAACAGCTCTGAGGCACCAACCCCAAAATAACCTGGAAAAGGCAACCTCAGCACTGGGGGATGGACCGAGGAGCCAGAACAGGGAGCAACCAGGGAACGAGGGACAGGACAAGAGGAAACAGGCCCAAGCTGTGCCAGGGGAGGGTCAGGCTGGATATTGGGAAAATTCCTTCCTGGAAAGGGCTGTTAGACACTGGAAAGGGCTGCCCAGGGCAGGGCTGGAGTCCCCATCCCTGGAGGGATTTCCAAACCCTGTGGATGTGGCACTTGGGGACATGGGGCAGGGGTGGCCTTGGCAGTGCTGGGGACAGTTGGACTTGGTCTCATGGGCTTTTCCAACCTCAGTGATTCCGTGATTCCATGAACACAGGGGTCTCACAGACCCTCACTCTGGGTCACATTTCAGTGCTGAACTAAATTCTGAAATGGATCATCCCTGTTTTCAGAGCTTTGATGCTTTGGAAACAATCCTTTTACTTCAAATATCCAATCATTCCATCGATCCAATTTTGTTCATAACTGATTCCATAACGATTCCATTTTCACCAAAACACGTGTTTTCCTCAGAAAATGTGACTCTGATCCAATTACCAACCTCCTCTGGTGAAATCAGCTCTTCATCTTGGGGTTTTTTTGGACAAATGGGGTGGAATGGATTGAATCCCAGAGCGTGGTTATCCTGTATATCCTCCTCCCAAATGATCCCAAATTTCCTTTATGAAGTTTTCTGCTGGCAATTACATCCTCCTTTTTAACCCTTTATCCACTGCCTCCAGCACCTGATTGCTTAGTTTTCTTGCCAGCAAATGATTTCACCCTCACAGGTTGGGAAATAACTGGATCATCCCTCTGCCTCTTCCCAAATCCAGTGCTCTGCCAATCCTGGCACTGCCCCAGCAGCACACAGCTGAAACCTGCAAATATTGGAAAACCACCACCTGGAAAATGCTCAGAGCTTCGGTTACTGATGGCCTGGGAAGGGTTTTGTCACCCACATGGGACACTGGGACATCACCCTGCTCCTTCCCAGGGAACAGACATGGAACAGCCCAGTGCTTCCAGCTTTTATCATGGAATTCCAGGATGGTTTGGGTGTGAAGGGACCTTAAAGCCCATCCAGTTCCAACCCCTGCCATGGGCAGGGACACCTCCCAGCAGGCCAGGAATGACACCTTGCAGAAAGCAGGGAAGAAAAGGAGCCAAGAAGCTGGAATGACACAGGAGGTGAGGGATGGATGTTACCCAGGAAAGCTGAGCATGGGGGAGACCCGTCAGGCAGCTGCTTGGACTGTGCAAGAATCCCAGGATCCCTGAGGCTGGAAAAGCCCTCCCAGCCCATGGATCCACCCTGGGCCCCATCCCCACCTTGTCCCCCAGCCCAG